CGCCGCACGAGTAAGGAACTGGTGTGTCCTGGAAGAGGTCGAGACGCTCTCGGATCATTTGTACATCCGATTCGAGCTCTCCCGGTCCCAGGACCCCAGTAGGGGTCACGCGGCGCGGCGCCCTTCCCGCTTCCCGCGGTGGGCTATCGCCAAGCTCGACAGGGACCTACTAGAGGAGGCGGCCATTATTTACTCTTGGCTGTCTCCGCAGGCCCCGACCGAGGAGGTCGACATGGGGGCTGGTCGCTTCTGCAATGCGATTACGCAGATTTGCGATGCGGCCATGCCCCGCGTTCGTGGTTGTCGGCCTCCAAGGAAGGAGGTCTACTGGTGGTCCCAGGAGTTGGCGGACCTCCGTGCGGCCTGTGTACGTGCCCGGAGGTCCCTCACCTCGTAGTCGGCGACGTCACCGCGGGGTCGGTGAGGAGGTGGACCGGCTTCATGAGGAGTACCGAGAAGCTCGGAAAACTCTGAGGCTGGCCATCTGCCGCGCCAAGGATGCGTGTAGAGAGGAGATGCTGGAGAGTCTCGAGCGTGACCCCTGGGGTCGCCCTTATCGTGCGGTGCGTCAAAAGCTCCGCACGTCGGGCCCCCCCCCTTACGGAGACTCTCCAGCCCAGCTTCCTGCAGGAAGTGGTCGAGGGCCTATTCCCGCAGCGGGCGGAGCACACACCCCCGTCGATGGCTGCATCAGCCGACGACGACGGGGGCAGCGAGGTTGATGTTCCTGCCCGTCAGGGAATCGGAGTTGGGGGCGGCTGTTCTACGGATTAGATCCAAGAACACCGCCCCCGGGCCGGACGGGGTTCCAGCCCGAGTGATGGCCCGAGCCCTCGACTACATGTCGGACCACCTCAGGGGGGTGTTGGACGCTAGCCTGGCGTCCGGACGCTTCCCTGAGCGCTGGAAATGCGGGAAGCTGGTCCTGCTGCAGAAGCCGGGACGGCCTGCCGAATCGGTCGCGGCCTATAGGCCTATCGTGTTGCTGGACGAGGCGGGCAAACTTTTTGAGAGGGTGCTCTCTGCCCGCATCGTCCGGCACCTTTGCGAGGTTGGCCCCGATCTGTCGGACTGCCCAATTCGGTTTCCGAGAGGGGCGTTCGACGATCGATGCCGTGATGCGCCTTAGGGCCGTGACCGAGGAGGCCGTGAGCTGCGGCGGAGTGGTGTTGGCGGTGTCCTTTGGACATCGCCAACGCCTTCAATAGTCTGCCATTCAGCTGCATCAGGGAAGCGCTCCGCTACCACGGAGTGCCGGAGTACCTGAGGCGGCTGGTGGCAGACTATCTTGAGGAGCGAACCGTCATGTACGAGGACCGAGATGGCGTCTTGAGACGCAGGGCCATGTCGTGCGGTGTTCCGCAGGGGTCTGTCCTAGGACCTCTCCTGTGGAACATCGGGTACGACTGGGCCCTACGAGGGCGTCTCCCCCCCGGGCTGGGTGTAATCTGCTACGCGGATGACACCTTTAGTCACGGCCCGGGGGGCTAACTTCCAGGAGGCGGCGCGCCTGGCCGCCACGGGAGTTTCCCAGGTGGTCGGGCGCATTGAGGCGTTGGGATTACGGGTGGCCCTGGATAAGACGGAGGCCCTATTATTTCATGGGCCCCGTCGTGGTCCACCCGCCGGCGCCTCAATCGAGGTCGGCTCGGTCCTCGTACCGGTCCGGGCCCAGATGAGGTACCTGGGTCTGGTCCTAGACGGTAGGTGGCTCTTCGACGAGCACTTCCGACAGCTTGGTCCGAAGCTGGTGGACACTGCCTCCGCCCTAGGGCGACTTTTGCCCAATTTGGGCGGGGCCAGTGTTCCCACGAGGCGGCTGTACGCGGGGGTTGTCCGGTCCATGGCGCTTTATGGTGCACCGGTGTGGGTGGCGGCTCTGACCGCCCCGAATAGGGCGCGCCTCTGGCGCCCCCAGAGGATATTGGCGGTCAGAGCCATACGCGGATACCGCACGGTGTCCACCGAGGCGGCCTTGCGCCTTGGCCGGAACACCCCCGTGGGATTTGGAGGCGGAAGTGCTCGCCGAAGTTTATCGGCGAGTGGCTGACTTCCGGGCGGAGAGCGGATTTCGCCCTCCGCCCGAAGACGTGCGCGAGTGGCGCGAAGCCGCTCGCCGAGCCACCATGGTGAGATGGTCGTTCCGGCTGGAGACTCCACGCGCTGGCTTCGCCGCCGTGGAGGCTCTCCAGCCGGTCATCGCCGAGTGGGCAGGGGCGGCAGCACGGGACCCTTTCCTTCCGGCTGACGCAGGTGCTTTCCGGGCACGGTTGCTTCGGAAAGTACCTGTACTCGGTCGCTAGGAGGGAATCGAGTCCCGCCTGCCACCACTGCGACTGCAGTGAGGATTCGGCCCAACACACGCTGGCGGTTTGCCCCGCATGGGCGACGCAGCGCCGGGCCCTCACTGCAGTCATCGGAGCAGATCTCTCGCTACCGGCCGTAATTCGCTCCATGGCCGGTAGCGACAGTTGTTTTACCGCGGTCGCAACCTTCTGCGAGGAGGTAATCTCGCAGAAGGAGGCGGCGGAGAAGGCCCGGGAGGACGACCTCCACTCGGACCTGATCCGCCGCCGGCGAACCGGGCGGCGGAGGCGCGCTTACCTGCGCCTCATGCCGCCCTGAGTGTGGCCGCGGGTGGACGGGATGGGTTCTCCCCTCCACCCGCATTAGTTGGCCAGCCGCGAGGGGGCGGCGTCCGCGTGTGCCGGACGCCGCCTAAAGAGAGGGTCCACTGAGACGGAGCCCGCGTCAGGAGCGGGCCGGCGCTGGGAGGGGTCCAGAAGGAGATAGCTACCTGGACCCCTCCGAAACTGGAAGCGCAAAGAGGGCACACCGTGTGGTTTTAGTCGGTTCGAGTCCGACACACCGCCCCGCCGAACGAGAGCCCCGGCGGGGTGACGGTCCGAGGGGATTTCCACACGAAAAAAAAAAAAAAAAAAAAAAAAAAAAAAGGTAATATAGGTACTATACCTTTCTCCTATTTTAACAAAGTAAATGGTATCAATACCAAGAAGTTTAAACTGTGGATAGGAGTTAATTTCCTAACTAACTAACTGTGTACTAGCCGATTCGCGATTCCGATTAGTATTTATACAACTTCCCATCACCAACCGTTTAGCCGCGGCTCGCCAGGCATGATCCTCTCGCCTTGTCGGAGGATCCTTCCTTTGTGTTGAGGGATGTGATTTCATGTAGATCGAACGGGCAAAAAGAACACCATGGATCACTCAAAGTGTTGTTCCATGTAGGGATCGAACCCACAACACTCAGCGCAGTAGAACCACTTAAACCACTACGCCATCCGTGCAGTCGATTTCGTAATACTTTCACCTGATTTACTGTGCTGTGTTTAACAAAATTATTAATGAAATTCAAGAGAAGGTTACTGAAGAAACTCAGCATTCAGGTAAAATATAACGCATTCTAAAAAAAAATTACCGAATACTAACTCTGACTAGTTTACATTCATTACGTACATTGCAAACTTCAACACAAATAAGTAGTGGCACAAATAACTCATATTACACTTCCTCACAACTTTGAATTAAAATTATATCTTAACCTTAAATGCCAAACAATCTAAATATATAAACGTTATGTTGGTTTGTGTACGCTTCATAACATCTCAACAAGTTTTGAATCGATTGAGCTCAAATTTTGACACGAGATACAACAAGCTTCAAATGTGGTTTTTATCTATTTTTCAACCACAATGTGCCACAGCCAAACGTGAGAGGGTACAGGTACTAAAATATAAAACTATAGGCAGAGCCTACACTGGTACGCCACAACATACGCAAGATTGCTTCAGTAGCAGTCCGATGTCTATAAAGACCTAATAGACGAATGTCAAGAACGCTGTAACGAATTATCAGAGCAAACTGCAAACATTTAAATTAGTTTAGTCAGCATTGTGTCAATACTCAACACCTGGTCTGCTCATCATATCCTGTTGGAATGTAATATTTGGTACAATATAATGTTGTATGGCTTACAGGTGATATCGGGGGCTAGGTCCACTATGAGGATCTTGTGTCAACTAGGGTAGTTTTTTGTGCTTTTGGGCGATTCTGCCATACGAGTACATATTATAGAAATCAAAATATAGCTCACTCAGGAGCCGTAATATTTTGTGTCCTTGGTGCTTCCCAGTTTAAAAGGGTGTATGGCTATTTTTACTTTATTTTGTCGTCCGCTTTGCTAAGGAATGCAGTATATTTATTATTTTCCAACTCTTCCAATTTTCTTTTGAATAATTTTGTTGCGGGTTCCAAGGCAGTTTCATTTTTCCTTGGACTGCCCGGGTGTTAGTGGTGACAACTCGGTGTGTTAGTGGGTCACTGCAGCTGGTCCTGGTCTACAGGAATTACAGTGCTAGGGTGTGGGAGAGATTAATCTCATCAAATTAAAGGTTTTCTTCGAACTGAGAAGCTCTTTATTTTTTTTAAGTCGAATAATTGCTAAATAGGTAATATCTAAGGTGGTTACTTATTTTTTGTTAGGAAATAAAACACGGTTTTTTAGTTTTTTTGTAATATTAATACTAGCGATTTCCCCTTTAACTTCCATTTACTTCAATGTTTTTTACAGCAAACTCTGGTGATGTAGCCCCCGCCTTATTTTTTGTTTGTAGCGTTGCCCGCGCCACGTTGCTCCGTCAGTGTGACGGAGCGCGTGCGGCGCGACGGAGCTCGCCTCGCGCCGTTCACGTCCCGCGATCACGACTCGGTCAATGCGTTGCAAGTTCACCGAACTTTTTGAAACTTAAACTTTGCCAAAACTAGGTTCTAAACTCGCTCTAAGTGTTGGCTATGGGTTTGGCGCTCAGCGCATTAAACTAGGCGTGACAATATAGCTGATAGCGGTTTTAAATTACACACAACGTGTTTAGATACTCGTGAAACTTTACTAATAGTTATCAGATGTGGTGAACTTCGCGCTATGAGTGACTGTGCGGTGTAGTGACGAGGAGACCTGGATGCTGTGTCTGTGGCGCGATGGCGGCACGCCGCCTCGTGCTGAATGGACTCACCGCGGAAGTAGGTGGCGAAGCGTGCGTGCCGGCCCTTGCGGGGGAGCGCGAGGCGGGCTCGCCGGACTCGCTAGAGTTCTATCACGAGTTGGAGCTGTACCGGCAGCTGCTAGCGCTGCCACCTGCACCCGCGCTGAGCGAAGAGCCTGCCCCGCCGAGACGTGCGCGAACTCCCGACCCAGTGCCAACGGCCAGATGTCACGGTACGCCGAAGTTATCTGTTCTTTCTTACTTTTGTCTTAGAGTTTTTCACACAGTTTAAGATAAAGTTCAGAAAAAACATATTACATGCGACTACATTAATAGGACAGTTGCACACTCTGCACAAGTCCGAGGCCCTGTTCTTCCACGGGCTTCGGAGGAAGCCGCCTGAGGGATCTAGCCTCACGGTAGGAGGCACTCGCATCGGCATCGAGCCCTCGATCAGGTATCTGGGGCTCGTACTCGATGGCCGATGGGACTTCGGATATCATTTCCGAGGTCTGGTCCCCAAGTTGGTTGGGGCAGCGCGTGCGTTGGCGCGGCTGCTGCCCAACATGAAGGGACCCGATGACTCCTGCCGGAGACTCTACTCGGGGGTTGTGCGGTCCATGGACCTTTACGGGTGCCCAGTATGGGCGGGGGCCCTGAAGGCCAGCAACGTCGCGATACTGCGACGACCGCAGCGAATGCTGGCCATCAGGATCATAAGGGGGTACCGCACGATCTCCTTTGAGGCAGCGAGTCTCCTGGCCGGAACTCCACCGTGGGACCTGGAGGCGAGAGCCCTTGCGGCACTGTATCAGTGGCGCAAGGAGGCGCAGGAGTTGGGTCGATGCCCCGAAATTCGAGAAATCGATGACCGGAAATCCCAACTCCGCCAGGTCATCATAGGGGAGTGGAGGGAACGACTCGGGCAACCGAGCGCTGGGCACGCCGTCATTGCGGCGGTAAGACCCGTTATGGAGGATTGGCTCGAGAGGCGTCACGGGACCCTCTCATACCGATTGACGCAGGTGATCACTGGGAAAGGATGTTTCGGAGATCACCTGTGTCTGATCCGCAAGGAGCCAACGCCTGAGTGCCACCACTGCGATGGCCAGACCGTGGACACGGCTCTCCACACGCTGGCAGAGTGCCCGGCGTGGGTTGAGCAGAGGCGAGACCTCGTGGCGGCCATCGGAGTGGGAGTTCTCTCGCTCGATAGCCTGATTGCGGCTATCGTGCGGAGCGAGAGTGCGTGGAACTCTGCCGTCTCCTTCTGCGAGCAAGTTATGCTCGCGAAGGAGACGGCGGAGCGGGACCGGGAGAGGTTTAGAACTCTCCCGGCCCGCCAGGCCCGGGCACGGGCCAGGCAGCGCAGGCGACTCAGGCGCCGGAGGTCGCAGAATGACCTCCGTCCTCCATAAGCGCAGGCCTGGGGGTGACAGGTGAGGCCATCTGTCACCCTAGCAGAAGCAGGCCGGGGTGGCGGCGAGCGCGTTGCGAAGCGCGCTCGCTTCCAGGGAGCACAGGGAACATGGGGTTCCCACACGGGGCGGGGGTCGTCTACTCGTCTGTAGATGACCCGAGGTATGTCGGGGCACCAGGGCCTTCCTTTCTAGGGTATACCTGGTTCCCCGGCAATTAGTACCCGGCGAAGGCGTGCGGTTTTAGTCGGTTCGAGTCCGACATGCCACCGACAGGTGGTATCCGAGGGGATTTCCGCACGGAAAAAGAAAAAAAAAAAAAAAAAAAAAAAGGACAGTTGCACAGTTTACATTTGCTTTCCTATTACTATAGTTGTTGACGACAATACGTACAGTTAAAAGAACTCTTGGCACAGCATAGAGGCAACTTTCGTTCGCTCGAGCGTTCTGGAGCGAGGTGCTCTTGTCGAGGGTTAAGGTAGTCTCCACTCACTACGCGGTGTAGTACTAATTTTCCACCATAACTGACGTCTTGATTAAATCTCATTCCTTTGTTATTATTATTGTTACTAATATACTTGTATGGTACAGATGAGCCGCGGCGCAGTCGAACTCCGGGCGCCGCAAGCGCAGCCCCCGCAGCACCTGCTGCAGAGCGAGCGCGCGCACCACCCGTCGTGCGGCCTGCTAGGGTGAGTCCTTTCTATTATTACTACAACCTTTTTTTTAAAAAGATTTGACTTAGCCACATAACAAAGTGGACGTAACGTTTTTTCCTAGTCTTATTGTTTGAATACTGCGGTCAAGTCCTGTTAATCAATGTTATTGGTTTTGATAATGTGGAAATTTTCATGGCAGTGGAGCTATGTGTAGTGTCAATTGAACCAATAATTTGGAAGTAGTCGCAAGTCGCGGGACCATTTCATGACCATAATGTTATGTAAAATAATCCCAAGTTTCCCATTACATCCATATACGAATGTTCTTAATAATTATAAACCAAGTACCTGATTACAATTTAATTTAATGTTATAGAAAGGTGCCCGTGGTATGGTAGACGTTTAATACTAGTAGAAGATATAAATGATGTAGGGCTGTGGCCAGGCCAAGTGTGGTGTATCCGAGTGACTATCACCAATCGGTGACTATGCGGTTCTATCGTGGGAGAGCCAGTCTCGACCGGAGTGACACCATGGCCTCACAGAAAAGCGCTGTTAAGCATGTCAAGCAGTTCCTTCGTCGCTTTTCACCGAGTCAGTGAGGTTACCCCTCCCCCTCCCCTTGACTCTAGGGGGAGCGACTTAAAGGGCGGCAACGCTCTTGTCACTCTTGAGTCGCTGGTATGTAACCCACAATATTAACGTCAGTGACAAGAGATTCGTTATTAGCACAGTTGGTATCATGAGAAGATTTTTTTAACAGCATTTTTGTATTGTATGCGTTTCTAGGATAAATATTCAACAGTATATTTACATCGTTGTTATAATAAAGGTCGACCATGCGAATGTATCGCGCAAGTCTTCTTGATTTGCGCGATACATTCGCATGGTCGAGTTGTCAAGTGGTGGATGTGGTGTGGAACGCGTGGTCTACGGCTCGTTACTAACAACTTTGTGTTTGTGGAATGCAGAGAACTTGACAAATAGTTGTATCACAGGCAGAATATTACTCTCTATGTAGAGCAAGGATTTTAGATAAGTGTTTTCAACATTCCCTTAAGCCATTGCTCAAGGGAATGTTGAGAACACTTATCCAAAAAGCGGACAGAGGTCGTTACCTCTGTGCGCGTTTTGCTCCGCTCCAGGCTATGCAACAGTCTATAATTGATTGGACCGTAGCGATATATTAAGTAAGGACTTTGTAGGCTCATAAAAGATCAGAATAATTTTATGCGTTCAGTCTGATGGAATAGTAATATGTGCTCTTCGGGGTGACATCTGTTTGAACGATATTTTTCAACGTTCTTAACGAAATACTTTATTTATTTGCTAAGTGAGATGCACTAACTGGTGCCAGGTATACTCCACTAACAATGAGAGTCATATTTATTAAATAACAAACAAACACAATTAAAGTTGAAAGTAAATCACCGGTAAGCCTCTACGAGGGCGGCGAGCTGCTACAGAGGCGCTACGCTGCTACGAGATTAGGAGGTGTGACGTGCGCGGCATTAACACTCGCCACGCTACTATCGCTTCTACAAGTTTATTAGCTTTGTATTCATTACTAAACGAATCTCTATATAATACAGAAACTATCTTTATGTTGTGTTTTGACACATTTAGTCAATACACGAATATTGAAAACTAGCCAACCAGACTAGATATTGTCGTGCGATTATTTTAAATCTTGCTAAATACACTACAAAATATTATAATATTTGATATCACAATATCTTTAAGTAATTATTGGAACTATATACATATAACTAATTAGAGAGGTAAAGTAAATTTCTCGTCAACGATGAGCGCGCCAAACAACACCAATTTTATTTAATTGTGTTACATGCGCTTCGTGTATATCTGAGACGAGTATGAGTAATTAATTGGAGATGCAAATACATTTAAAATAAATGTTACAGACGTTTATTTATTGTCCACTCGTTACTGTTTTTATCATAAATTGAACGAATATACATTATATATTTATAAATTCATTCTAGTTTTCCTCACTGGTTGCATGCACAACTTTCAGAATTTCTAAAATAAAAAGTCACTTAGTTTTGGAATTTGCGAAATAAACCTGAGTTCTGTTGAGCGGATAGTCTCTGAAAACAAATTTGAACTCGACACGTTTCCACACAACTAAATATCGTTCATCTCTTCCATTCTTCTTATGTATAAGCCTGAGGGGGGTTTCTGGGAAGGGACTCTATCAGGGTTTCTTGATTCTGAGGAGGGGCTTATGGGGGGGGGGGCAACACTCTCTGTGACTTTTGTTGTAGTAGTAGTTGTAGGCGTCCCAGGGCGGCGGTAGTCACATCATGACCGGTGACCTGTCTGCCCGTTTCTACCCCTATACCATAACAAAATAATGTTATGAAATCGTATGGTCATAGCCATAAACCTTCGTCTACAAGTATAGTGCAAGTAACTCACAAGCGCATGTCGGTGACACTGGTGCAGTCGCAGTATCGTGCCACTGCGGAGCCATGGGGCTGCCCCTCGGAGCCACCTGTTGCGTCTCTGTCATGTTGAGTGACGTCACACACAGGTTCACACCACCATGAGACGTATTGTGAACAACGATTGCAAGAGGCTCCTTACACTAACAAATTTCTTTAATATTTTTAAATTTTAGCTAGCGAACTCGCACGAATAAAGTGAGCAAGCAAAGGTGCGGATAAAAGTTCATAATAACGAAAAAGTATACAATTGACAACTAGTGTGAATGAAGTTAAAAACCAATGAAATAGTTATTTATTAGGAAACACAGAAGTGATGTTAGAAACAGTGACCGCAGAGCAGAGGGAAGGTTTTCGGGTCTAGCTATGGTATTAAAAATAAAGCACTGGAACTTCTTGCTTTATAACTGGATAATAGGATTCAGAAAGTTGGTATAAATTTATTACAAATAGATCTTAGGCTGTTGTAATTAACGGCTTCACGTCTGCATAGATGCCGATTCTTTCTGGTGTTCCTCAGGGTTCCTTATTAGGACCATTGCTCTTAATTATTTTTATCAATGATATTGGCTCATGCTTTATTCACGTTAGTTTTCTTTCCTATGCAGATGATACGAAAATATTTATGGTCATTAATAGCCCCACTGATTGTGAGTTACTGCAAATCGATCTAAATTGCAAAATATTGTAAACGTAACAAATTGGACCTAAATGTATCCAAGTGATTTGCAGTCCATTTTATGCGTAAAATCAACCTTACTCAATTTAGGTACACTATTAATAATGAGCCGCTTGCTTATGTCGCATCTATAAAAGATTTAGGCGTTATACAGGACTCTAAACTAATATACGATAAACATATTGACTTCATCGTGAAAAAAGCCAACAAATCCTTACGTTTTCTTATTAGATCAACCTCAAATTTTAACAATATTAAACCTATTAAAGTGCTTTATTGTGCACCTTTTACGCAGTATCCTCGAGTATGCGTCTGCGGTTTAATATAATATACATAATATATACGAGCATTGATCGTATTGAGTCCATCCAAAAAGGTTTTTAAGATATTTGCAGTATAAGTGTAAGTGTGACGGAGATACAGATTGCTCAATTCTTCTCGAGATAATTAAAATGAGAGTACCGCATAATTTATGCACTAGGCATAGGTCGAGGTACTACTAAGGGTGGATACCCTTAGTAGTACCTCGAACAAATACCAACTACCGCAAAAAATCCTATTGTTATTATTGGTCGTTGGTTATCCTACCAATTTGTTATTATTGGAGCCAGTAGATCTGTAAATGATATACATAAATTGAGTAACGAGTTTGAGCTCTTCAGATCCAGACCTTCACATGTCAAATACATGTTTCAATTTTTTAAGCCCAATATTTGGACCGTGACATTTTCTTAGTTTAAGTTTTTCTTTTATTGTTTTCTGTTTCCAAAAAGTCTTTTTTTATGTACTTTTTTTTGTTGTTGTTGGTAAGTTATTTGAACTGTTGTTTCACACTTGGAATGTACTTACTTACGTTATTTGTGTTGTTGGTATTCTGAATAAAAAATACAATAAAAAATAAATAAAAAGAAACATAATCACAGTGGCATGTCAATATATATATATGTAAATGTAATATATGTTCATAAAAACAAGGATAACTTTTTGAAAAAAAGTGATGTAGATGTAGATCGTTTCGAGGTCAATGGCTAATAAATTGGCTATTTCTTAAGTGGAAATGTGATGTGGGCTAGGGTGTTTTTAATTTTTTAATTTTTTCTATTCTTTATCCTTCACTTCACTTTCTCCTTAATTTGATATTTTTTTCTAATCTTATTTTCTCTTTATTGTCTTTCTACCTTTTACAAAACAATGTTGTGGTATATTTGAAGATGTCATTGTATTTATCTGTAAATTGCAAAACAGTGGCCATGAGTTTGTTTGCCCTTTCTTTTCATAAGGCTCAACCCCTTGGAATCGGGTGGCTGTGAATCGGCACAGGCACATCATAGGTTTTGTATTAGCATAATTTAATTAAAAGAAATTCATAATTATTTGACAAAACAGAGATTGTTGCTATTGTGTGTGTTGATCTACGACTGTAGAGTTTACATAAAAGACGATTTCAAACAATTTCATTTTTCTTTTTTTTTTTATGAAATAAAGATATTTTGAATTTGAATTTGAGCTAAATATATCTAAGGAGAGGCTTATGTCCAGCAGTGGACTATTAAAGGCTGTTGATGATATCTTTGAAGTAGACGTTACGTGAGTGTTTGAGATAGTTAATAAATGCTTCCATTTCGATTGTTACGTTCGCTACGCAACACCTGTTACGTAATAAGTGTCACGATTGTTATTTATTGTGAAATGAGTCGCATTCACCAAATAAGTATACGAAGTTGAAATGTACGAGGTGTCGGAGGGTTACTCACACATAACGTGTTCATGTATAAATGCAAACAGCTGAGCGCAGAGGTATTAATTGAAGTAGCTTGTTTCTTGAGCGCAGCAGTTTGTAACACTTCCATGTCTTCCTCTTCCCAGTTCATCCTCAAAACTTGATCCGAACATATTCTAACCATCCGAGTACCTATGTACATGACTGGTTCAACTACTCAAATCCAAGATTTAAACCGGTATTACTGAATTCAAATGTTATATACATAGTGTATGTGTGTGTGTGTGTGTGTGTGTGTGCGTGTCGCAGCAAGGAGTTTTTATATTCGTAATTATAATTTATAGTGTGTTGCACATCGAGACGAGGAAAAAAATTCTCCACTCTCTCTATAACCACTCTCTCTATACGTATATTAGATGAATATACAATTATTTGTATAATATAGTGAAGTCTATCGCCTTTGATATTGTTTTATTTATCTAAAGAATAATTTCCTCTCGTAAGAAGTAACGTTAAGAAAATAAAATGAAAATGGAAACAAAGAGACAAGTTTTGACACGCTTAAGGGAAATTAATTTAAACAATTTTGAATTTGTAACAATTTCAAATCATTGTTTAAATGCCATAATAAAGTAATTGTATTTAAAAGTTTTCATAAGTGTACATTTTTGCTTTACTATTTTAATCATCGTGTATTATTAAACATCGAAGATTTCGGTGCTATGTTTATATGGTGCAGCAGCTGAAACATTACGTAGTTCAAATTAACTCTGAGTAGTTCAAATTAACAAGGCTATATAAGTTTGACTCAGAACATCATATAAATAGCAAACAAGGTGAAGAAGTGGTTGAAGGATTGCTAACATTACTCGTAGTTCCTGAGAGTATGTCTATTACATTGTACTATAAGGTTGTTAAACGTTTTCTTAATGTTATTCAGCTCTTCAACTCAAATCAGAGAACAACTTTTCGAAATACAAAGAAGTGTTACTTTACGTTAAGTCTCATGTTCGATTCTGTTATGGCTTTTTGGCTTTTTATTGGAACGAGAAAATTGTGTGTAAAGAAGCACGCTTGAGATTGCATGCATGAGTTTAGTGGTGTTTGTGCAAACCACTTTACTCTGTATAAAGGTCGTTCTTTGTTAATAATCTCCAGTCTGAAGTGGTCCTTGATAGATTATAGTTCGGAATAGGACTTTAAAATTCACGCAACTACAAAAGCCAATATTGTTTAAAATGCGATTTTCGCAGTGCACTAATCAGTGGATTGTGGTATTTGAGTTATATTCCCTAGATATTTTCTAGCCACTGACATCAACTTCAAACTATTTTAGATCTAGACGAGGTTCATAGCTTTCATATCATATAAATCATAGCTATTAGTCCAAAAACATCATAACGAAGCGACTGGGAGGCTCCGGTGCACGAGTTGACATCGAAGTTAGCCCAACTTGTCCAGGCACAGGAACCAGGAATTCGAGGCACAATTTATTAAACTATTGCAAGTATGTTTGCATCTTGTAGAGAGCTGTACAACCACCTATTTTGTTTGTAGCCGAGTATTCATGCCTTGGTGTATAGCCTGACTGATCATTATAAAATGGTGCAGATACATTAACAGGGATACATAAAATCATATAAAGTTCCTTTCATCCAAAGAAGTACTGTTCTTGAGATGTGTCTAAATTGATTGACAAACTTTATAAGAACACGACCAATGCCGTGGACAAAAGCCAGTGTTCATTATTTTAAGTTTCCATACAAGGATTATTTTATGACCTCTTTTTATTCGGTACAGGTATGGCATCTGTGAAGTTGGATTGCAATAAATATAAAATAGTTAACTTCACGGCATTTGAAAGTGGAACAATTTGAAAATTGTAAATCGAGTGTATCACAAGATACAGCCGTTTGTATTACAAACTTTGACTTTCCGTTGGACTTTACTGATCGATAGCGTCTTACGTATAACTCAGGTGTTTTAATTAATTTGTAAGTTCCCTCCAGGGTACAACAGCGTGAGAGAGTACATTTGCAGTTGGGATTGTTTGCATCATTTAGTTCTAAAGAGCACTAGTGTGCCGCCAGGTGGTCAGGACAGTCACGTGGAGCCAATTGCTGAAATGTTTGGTAATGCCAGCCATAGTATAGGTGAAATATTACAGACAGATTCTAAACTACGCGTACATGTACACACGTATTCGTCGGTTAAAGTAAGTGTGTATGTAAAGAAGTCACTTCTCCAGTTAATACTAGCTTTCACATTTTAAATAAGACTCATTAATATATTTTTATTTTGTAATGTACATAACATGCATAAGCATTTTATGAAAATATTTTTTAAGAGTGCAAAGTATTAGACAAATGTCTCCTCATGTCAATTTTATACAGGATGGATATTTGTAGTTTAGATAAAAGAAATTGGTGCTATAGAAAAAATAACAAGTAGCAGAGTTCTATCTATGTATTTCGTTTTAAAGTCTCAAGGTGTGAAGAACAATATCTAAGTATGTTCTTCTGTTTTCGTGCGAAAAGTCGTGTGTTTTGTTGGCTGAGTATATCTAGCTCACCTAGTTGATTTCCCGCGAGGTTGGCGCGCGTCTGGCGCGAGGCCGCGCGACCTAACTTGACAAACAGCGCTCTGACACGCGACGCGGTGCAACTCTTGATTCTTTTACAATCTATATTACATGACTAAGCTCCTTGTACGTACGACGAGCACACGAGAACTTAACAATGAGCTATTTGCCCTAGGATAAACCACATCAGAATGGTCGCTGGTTCGTGTAAGGAATTCAGAAGAATTGCTTTGTAAAAAGAGATCCTAGTGAAAATTTTTAGCTGTTTATTTTTAAACACCTTTTTTTCTGATAACAAAACTACTTTTAATCAAGTTTAGTAGTCTACCTTGTCTACTAAATACATATCAATGTAAAATATTGTTGAAGTTACACATCAAACATATCTAAACGACAATTATTTCCGCACCGAGGATCAAACATCTAACATCGAGAATTGTCGACACAGAATGAAGTTGGTATCAATAATAAAATCTATTTACATTTGTTGTAGAGAAGCTAAATGATGTAAGGCCGTTAGTTGCCGCACCATCTGTACGAAGATAAACGACGTGCGAGTGTGGACCTGTCTCCATCGCTCACTACAAATTGTTTTTCCAATAGAGAAGTGAGCGCCACCGCGCACCGCCTTGTGTCACTTACCCGACTCACACGCCGACGCGCCACGGGGCAGACGACATCCCGGTCGACTTCGAGCACTTCTCTAGCGATGTGCTACTCGTGAGCGTTAATTAGCATCTGGGGCGTTATTGCAGGTATCATCCTCAGACGATGATAGGTCGTATTTGTGGTTTTAATATACGTAGTTATACCAATATAACTTAGCACATTCAGTAGTATACATGTATACTTACTCACACAAAGTGACAAGGTCAAATAAATGTCAAACGTGCGCTAACTATAGGACACAGGTCATCATGTTTCAGTGGTTTGCTTAGAACTTGTTTATTAAAATACCCTGTACAGTGAGTTTGAAGCTAAACCTTTTCTGTATGTTGTATTTAGAAGTAAATTTTGTACCCAACTGCTGTCCCAACAAAGGAACAGAAACATTACAGTTATAAAGTGGTTGTTTGCCTATCTGTAATCAAAACTTTTATTTTTAAACAGCTTTGCGCTTTCACCGCAAAAAAAATACCGTTTGTCGTATCACCTCGATTTGAGAGCACCTCCCAACTGCCTCAGCCAGTATTGGAATCCTAGGCATCGACATATCGAGCGAAGTCCAGTTTTGGGGTGACTTGGAGGGGAGGATCAAATTGGCCTTTAAGAAGCTCGGTGTGCTTAACAGATCGAGGCTGTATTGCATCCCACTGCATCTAACTCTATAAGGCGCAAGTCCGGTCGTATATGGCATACTGTTCTAATCTCTATTTAGTACCCTAGTACCAGCTTCTCCCTCTGGACCGTATCCAACGAAGACCGGCTCGAATCGTCGATAGTCAGAAGATCTCCGACCGGCTCGATCCTTTGGCGTTGCATAGTGAGCTCTGCATTCTCTATCGTATATATCATGGAGAGTGCTCCGAGGAATCGTTCGGACTAATACCGGCCCTAACTTTCCGCCATCGTTCCACACGGCAAAATTTTAATCCCCAAAACTAGAATAATTGGCACTCCACCACTGTGCGCTTTTCAAGACACTTTTTGATAACAAGTTGTCGTCTGTGGTATTTCCGGACCGATACGACCTTCACAAAAAGAGCGTACTCCTTCCTTAAAGGCCTGCAACGCGCTTGTGACTCCTGAATTGCAGCATAGGGGGCGGTAGTCGCTTTCCATCAGGTGATCCGACCCTTTAATTCAGGAAACAGTCTGTGATACGATAACTTATCGCGGGAGAAAGATACTGTAGCTCCACCTGCTACTATTATTGTTCCTTAGCAAATATCTTGTCAGTTTTTCATAACAAGAATAATACTCGCACTCACACTGGGCCCAGCACTTTACTTGCAGTTTAGTTATATGCTAACTTTTATATAATGCTTAAAATTAATAATGACGAAGCTCATATCGTATTATATTTGGAAGTGAATGATTTTTTTTAGATTTTGTATAAATCGCCGCATTGCATAACGGAGCGAGGTGTCGGCCTCCGTCAGCAAGTCCTTGTTACGGCGCCAATATAAATTCCTTGAAGGATTAGCACGTCCAGCGCCCGCCGCGACTGATAATACCATCTGTAGAAATTAAAATGGGCCCATATATACGACGTTGCACAAAAGTTTTGCCAAAGTTTAAAAGCGAAGGCCATAAATGGGGGATTTAGTTTGAAATAAAAAAATATTTCTAATTTATTAAACTTTACTACATTATTTATATCTCTATTCTAAATAATTTGAAAGAACTATAATTTGAGAAAACAATGCAATACCTACAAAGTTGTGTTTATATAGGCATCATAATTGGGTCTTTTCACTCACGTGATTTCTGTCAGTTAGCTTTTTTTAGGGTTTTGTAGTCCTAGTTGCGCAGCCATGCCCGTTAGCCGTACGTAGCCGTAGGTTTATTTGTCAAATGTAAGATCATTAAACGAAATGGGTAACAGGAAATACCATAACTGGCCGTGTCTCTAGAGATGGTTAAAACCTTGAGAGAACCTAGTAAATAAGATAATTATTGTGACTGCCTCTAAGCGATGAGGCCGCCACTTGTACTTATCACATCTAGTATTAAGTACGTTTTATAGTTACCTGAAGGCCAACTCTCGTAACGAAAGTTCGGTCAAAAACTCTCGATCTCGCAACTGTCATAAAAAGTGTTTTCATACTAAAAAAAAAACGTCAATCTGATAGTCTTAGTAATACTTTAATAAAGTATTACTAAGACTAGCAGATTACCGATTAAATTTTCGGTCACAATACGATATAATCACATTACAGACAACATTGGACATCCAACGTTGTCTGTAATGTGTCTGTAATACTTGCCTACGAAATACCTTTGATGTAGATGTGGTGTAGAATAAAATGATTGATTATTATTAAAAATCACGCAGTGTGATACCTTGCCGTACCTTAAAATATGATCACACCTCCTCTGTACAAGATTTGTACCCACGTAGGTATGTATGTACCGTCATGTGTAACGATTACGAAAGTGACTGTCGGTGCTTTGTCGTTGATTGTTGACACGATGTGGACCAGCTCTGATAACTTATATAAACAATAACCGGGTGTTTCAATAGCACGTAGTGCGTGAGTGGGGCGTGCGCACGTACTTCATCCCTACCAGACTATACCAACTTTACAAACTAAATAAGTTGGTGGAGCGCGGGTAGCGGGGCGCGGAGCGCAAGGGGAGGAAGGCTTCGGCTTGGTGTATCTCACCCCGTACACGCGAGATCTGGTCACGATTTCCAAAAACTTTTTTTTAATGAAAAAGAATGCTCTAATGGTGATCCCATTGCTACCAAGTCCAGATCTAATGACGCAATCTAAGCGAAAACGAGGAAAACAGAAATATTAACCTTCCCTATGTACCTGTGAAAAAAAAATATCGAGCGTCTAAAGGCACATCTATTATATACATACTTAGCTTACCTTATTTGTGTGTAAGTTACAGTTTTTAAAAATTATATCATAATTGACAACTATATTCCTTTACTTTATGTTTACCATAAATTGAGATTTTTATACTCATTATCAACAGCCTTTAGTAGTCCACTGCTGGACATAGGCCTCTCCTTAGAAATTATGTTTTGGCCCACTACAATTTTTACGCTAGCTTGCGTTTTTATAGAATAAACGAAGTATCCTCTTAAAGCAACGTCAATTACTAACCAGTGAAACGTATCCAATCAAATAGCCGGTGTAATTTAAATTGTAGAGCTATTGTATGTCCGAGCTCACTCCGAATGGAGGTGAGAGAGTGATTGGACGGCCCACACAACACACACTCTCTACAGCATCTGCATAACGACGCGAGCGGAGATGACATGCTGATAAGTGGCAAGTGTATTGTTGTAGATTTTATCTGCGTTTCATTGACGGCGAAATAAGTAAATTATTACTGAATCTGATCTTAACAACCAAAAATAGTTTTTATTCACTTAAGGCATACGAGAGCTGTGGGGCCTGGTAGGTATTGTACCCATAGGATATATAAATTAGAAGCATTTAGTTTAAAAACTCGAAGTTCTCGAACTGGAAAGGAAAGTATTGCACAGTCACAGGTGTCAAATGAAAAAATGATATGACGAGCTGCTAACGGTGGCTCAAGGTTGCTTTATGTCAATAAAGCGTGCTGCTACGTGCGTAGCTTTATTGACAGAAATCTACACACGTAGCAGGTCGTATTGCTACGGGAGCTGACTTGTTGTAATCGTGTGAAGTCAATGGTGACAGACGTTGTGTGTCACCATGGTGATTATGTTATATATGTGCAATTATTTTAGTACTAACTAACAAACACTTCACCTTGTAATATGAGTATAGATTTAGGGGCACATCAACACTCTCTTATATGTTTGTTATCAAGATACGAATATATTGATTGCAATTGTTCTAACTTTTTACACAACAATTAGATGTCACGATGAATTTAAGTACATGCACTTAACAGTAAAAATAAACAGTTATGATTGAAGTAGAGGATAGTAGCAGTTTTATTATTGAAATTAATTATAAAAAAGCAGATACTATGTATACATAGATTCAGTGGTTTATGGTAAAATTACTTCCTAAAAACTATTATATAAAGCTAGAAAGTTGATGTTTAATATTTGAACATGCTCAGTCTTTACTATTTGCGAATATCTTTTTTACTGAATACTACAATTTCTTTTAAATTCCGTCCCCTCATCAATTCTTCTACAATAATAACCGGCGGCGGCTGGTGGCACACCCAAATGATAGCTGTATCATTTTTGTGCCGTTTTTGTTCATCCCCGACTTCGGTTGTCCGATAAATCTCAATACGTCCAATATTCCAAAATTTCATTTTTTGTCTACTTTATTAACTTTTTGCATCTCGTTGATAACGCCACGTCGTAACAGCGATGAAGAAGCTACCATTATAGTAATGGTTGCTGTGATTGATAAATATAAATTTACGCACTAGGCATAATCCACCCTTAGCAGTACCTCGAACAAATACCAACTACCGCAAAAATTCCTTTATTGTTCGAGCCAGTAAATCTGTAAATGATATGCATAAACTGAGTAGCGAGTTTGAGCTCTTCAAATCCAAACCTTCACATGTCAAATAATACATGCTTCAAAAATGTTTTCAGCCCAATATTAGAAGCGTGACATTTTCTTAGTCTAAGTTTTTAGTTTTTCCTTTTTCTAAGTTGTTGTTGTTAAGTTATTTGAACTGTTGTTTTACACTTGGAATCTATTTGCGAATACCTGTGAATAGCTTCGTTGTAACTTTAGTCTAATGTTTTACCTTGCGTTATTTGTGCAGTTGGTATTCCGAACAAAATAACATAAAAAATAATAATAATAATAAGTGACTTAATAAAATAATAATAATAATAAGTGACTTGACGTACTGTGGCCGACGATTTGAGTTCATAACGTGCCCATCGCTCTCGGTTCGCTAGACACGTTGTTTACTTTGTAAGTAGTGGGAAGCCGTTCTACGCAACAGTTCTTCTGTTTAAACAACGTTTTATCTGACGCGTGTCGCAGTAACTCTCCTCAATAGCGCGCTGTACGATATTAAACTGCATTGTCAGTTTGATATACCGTTGGGGCAGTGGCAGCGCTCACTTATATTACACTACCAAC